GTGCGCGCGCACGTGTGCGTGTCAAAATCACAAATAAAATGAAATGAAAGGCAGCAGAGAGAAGAAAAATTCTTATTTCTGCCCCCTTTTTTCTAGAACTATCATTCAAGATGGCCGCCACATCTAAACCTCAGCCAACATGAAAATTAAATAACTAAAACTCACTTTTATAAATAATGAGCCAAAATCTGGTGTGATARTAGCTGAGAGTCATCCCTAACATCCAATCAGCAGGGGCACCAGCAGGGGGGCACCAGCAGGGGGGCTGTCATCGTCTGTCTGACCCAAAAAAAAATTTCTTCTGATCCCAAACATCTGATTACAGATTAGACTCTACCCCCATGTGGCCTCATTTTTACAACCATATCATATTTTTTTTGTTGTAGATATTAGTTTTGTTGTGCCACCCCTGGTTTTTCAGTGACACCCCCACACTATTGCAAAGAATGAATGCAAATCATGAGTTAGCTAAGAGCTAATAAATAAAAACAAGATAAAAACACTGAACATGTGCATCATGCATCTTACAGGATTATATTTATCTTGGTAGATGATTTATTTGTTGCAACAATGTTTCTTATTGGAAAGACTTAATTTCCCTCGTCACATTTGTAAGGAACAAGCATTTGTGGAGCTGAGTATGTGGGTTGCACTCATAAAAATGTTACTAAAATCTCTGTCAAACAGCTTATTTAGCTGTTAATGCTTGTTTGTAGCTTTTTGAGCTTCTCCTCAGGTGCAGCCAATCAGGTGCCTGCTTTAAGTTGTATTACCAAGAAGAATCGTTACAACAAAGAAATAATCAAATATAGGCTACTTACTTTTAGTCACAGGTTGTACTTAAAGTAAAAAGTAAGTAAAGTAAACATACCTTAACAGAAAATGACAGATAAGAAAAGCACTGAAGTAAAAGTCATGCTCACAGTAATCAGGAAAGTAAAAGTACTTTTACTCAAATGAAATGATGAACTTACTTAACCAAACTGGTTCTACTAAACCGGGATGAGTAAATCAACTTGTTTTAGAAACAGTTTACAACTTAGTTGCATAATTTCAACACTTAGTAGTGATAAAGTTAAAAGTAAAGAAGTAAAAGTATAATTTTATGTTTTAAATTTAGCAAAATAAAAGTAAAGGTTATGATTAAAATAAAAAAATTACAAATCCTCAACAAGATTGCAGTGGAATGAAGTAAACATGGGTTTTGTRCTAAATAAGATTTTGGTAATTTTTTTTTCTTTGTTCCCTAAAGCAAGGAACAAGCCTCACATGTTAGAGGAAAGATTTCTTCCTGAGCGAATTTGATGATTTTCTGTTTTAGTGATGAAACATCAGCACATATTTAATGAGCTCAGTGTTGTTCATCTAAACCACAGCCTGGTTTTATCTAACAAACACAAAGAAGAAGGAAATTCAGTGAAGGTCACACAGTTATGTTTCATTGCCATCTGTGTGGGAACAGAATAACTTTATCTCAGATAAAATAAAACTTTTCTATAGTTTGACATCTCTTATTATCAGGTATGTAAATAACTGCCCATCATGAGCTGATGTCTCATTTAAAGCTGCAAAAACTCTTTCTTTAAAACATGAGGAAGTTGTTTTTTTCTCAGATTATAAGATTTAAGATGAGTTTTCACAGCTACTGTTTAGTTATTTATTTAAGCCCAAAAATGTACCCTTCACACATTCATCTGCATCTCAGCTGGACTGATGAGAGAATTATTATTTTTTACCTTTTATTGTTTGTTTTTGAATCATCCTCTGGCAGGATGTGACTGTTCGATCACATGAAAGCTCTGTTATGCTGGAAAAAGTAGACGCAAAAATCTGTGATTCAGGATTCACCCTTGTTTTCATTTCGTTATTTATATTTTATGCTTTTGCAGTTTACATACTTCTGCATACTTTGAGTTATTTTATCTGTATGAACTCATTCAGGAGATGGGTGCTGTCGCTTTTGGTTTTTATAACAGTTGCACTTTTCGAAAAATATCTTATTTACAAATATTTTACCCACCAAAGATTTAGATTTCTTTAATTTCTTCAAAAATATGGTGTGCTTTCTGCTTCAGCAAACTAAACCTATGAAAGTTAAGGCCCTATAATGTTTTAAATAATTTATGTGGACTTATGGAAAGTTTAAAGATGAAGATGGAATTTTAAAAAAATCAACTGGAAGCGTCTTTTAAGCATGTGCATACTGTAATGTTAACAAATTGGTCAAATATGTAACTTTTATTAATAATTTTGACATAAAAAATCACAAGTTGGCATAAGTTGAATGGTGTGACAGAAGTGAGTGGAACAGTGGAGGATCTGCTGCCATCTGGTGGACAAACAGAGGAACACATCAGTATTTCCTTTTTTCTAAATGATCATTTTAGCTTTTTTACATCTCAGTGTGGCTTTACTCTGAGATTTAATTTTTTTCAGTTCAATATGCTGAATATTCAGTTTGGGTGACCCTGAACTGTGCTTCAGTTTTGGAAACTGATTTCCTCTCAGGTTTCTGAGATTTTGAACAAATATAAAAATAAAAAAAGTTAAGAGAGTTCTCAGAACAAGTTTTTCAACAAATAWCTTGTCCAGAGAACCTTATTAAATGTTTTTCTTTTCTTTTTTTTCTACCTGGATTATCGAGATGCATCAGGACATATTGTAACAAAATCCTTTAACTTTGTTTATTAATCAAAGTGCAGAAACAACAYAACTAAAAATAATGATTCAACATTCATAATTCATCAACAAACACAACGAGAAAGTTTCCACAAGTTACAGAAACGTAAAAATCTTTTAGTGAAATATTTTTTAATATAAATTCAGTTTAATGACAGCTGACATCCTTTTTTTCTGGTTAAAAGATTGAACCCGCTGTTTTTAAAGTTTGGATTTTATTACCAATGGGAATGAACAGAATGCTACATGGTGTTTTCCTTTGGATCTCCAATTAAACAACTTAAAGTTGGTGGTGAAGATAAATAGAGAGCTAAAGCTGTACAGCTTGTTCTGGGAATACGTTCCACCAAACGTTCCCAGTTCACCCTCACTATACAGGTGCTGGTCATAAAATTAGAATATCATGAAAAAGTAGATTTATTTCAGTAATTCCATTTAAAAAGTGAAACTTGTATATTATATTCATACATTACATACAAACTCATATTTTAAATGTTTATTTTGTTTAATTTTGATGATTACAAATGACAACAAATGAAAATCTCAAATTCAGCATATCAGAAAATTAGAATATTACTGAAGACCAATAAAAACAAAGGATTTATAGAAATGTTGGCCAACTGAAAWGTATGAACATGAAAAGTATGAGCATGTACAGCACTCAGTATTTAGTTGGGGCTCCTTTGGCCTGTATTACTGCAGCAATGCGGCGTGGCATGGAGTCGATCAGTCTGTGGCACTGCTCAGGTGTTATGATAGCCCAGGTTGCTCTAATAGTGGCTTTTAGCTCTTCTGAATTGTTGGGTCTGGTGTAKTGCATCTTCTTCTTCTTCACAATACCCCATAGATTTTCTATGGGGTTAAGGTCAGGAGAGTTTGCTGGCCAATTAAGAACAGGGATACCATGGTCCTTCAACCAGGTACTGGTAGCTTTGGCACTGTGTGCAGGTGCCAAGTCCTGTTGGAAAATGAAATCTGCATCTCCAAAAAGTTGGTCAGCAGCAGGAAGCATGAAGTGCTCTAAAACTTCCTGGTATGTGGCTGCGTTGACCCTGGACCTCAGAAAACACAATGGACCAACACCAGCAGATGACATGGCACCCCAAACCATCACTGACTGTGGAAACTTTACACTGGACTTCAAGCAACGTGGATGAAGTGCCTCTCTTCTTTTCCTCCAGACTCTGGGACCTTGATTTCCAAAGGAAATGCAAAATTTACTTTCATCAGAGAACATGACTTTGGACCACTCACCAGCAGTCCAGTCCTGTTTCTCTGTAGCCCAGGCAAGACGCTTTTGATGCTGTCTGTGGTTCAAGAGTGGCTTGACACAAGGAATGCGACAGCAGAAACCCATGTCTTTCATACGTCTGTGTGTGGTGGTTCTTGAAGCACTCACTCCAGCTGCAGTCCACTCTTTGTGAATCTCCCCCACATTTTTGAATGGGTTTTGTTTCACAATCCTCTCCAGGGTGCGGTTATCTCTCTTGCTTGTACATTTTTTTCGACCACATCTTTTCCTTCCCTTCGCCTCTCTATTAATGTGCTTGGACACAGAGCTCTGTGAACAGCCAGCCTCTTTAGCGATGACCTTTTGTGTCTTGCCCTCCTTGTGCAAGGTGTCGATGGTCGTCTTTTGGACAACTGTCAAGTCAGCAGTCTTCCCCATGATTGTGTAGCCTATAGAACTAGACTGAAAGACCATTTAAAGGCCTTTGCAGGTGGTTTGAGTTAATTAGCTGATTAGAGTGTGGTACCAGGTGCCATCCATTTTGAACCTTTTCACAAGATTCTAATTTTCTGATATGCTGAATTTGAGATTTTCATTTGTTGTCATTTGTAATCATCAAAATTAAACGAAATAAACATTTGAAATATATGAGTTTGTATGTAATGTATGAATATAATATACAAGTTTMACTTTTTAAATGGAATTACTGAAATAAATCTACTTTTTCATGATATTCTAATTTTATGACCAGCACCTGTATGTGTGGGTTTACCAGGTCAGCCTCCCCCTGTCACAGGATCCAACCCACCACCAGGTGGTGATCAGTTGACAGCTCTGCCCCTCCCTTCATCCAAGTGCCCAACACACAGGGCCGCAGGTCTGACGACGTGATTAAAAAATCGATCATCAATCTTTGGCCTAAGCTGGCCTGGTACCAAGTACATCTATGGACCACCCTGTGCTCAAACATGGTGTTCGTTATGGAAAACCTGTGCTTACATAGCACAGAAGTCCAATAACAGAACACCATTCAGGTTCAGATCAGGGAGATAACTCTGTCATTGCCCATGTGGGCAATGAAGTCACCCAGCAGAATAAGAGAGACTCCAGAGGGCACCCCTTCCAGGACACCATCCAAAGACTCCAAAAGGAGGTAATCTGAACTGATGCATGAGCACAAATAAGTCAGAACGTTCCCTTCCTGCAGCACGAAGCTGCAGAGGCAACCCTCTCATCCACCGGGGTGAACTACAACACTGAAGCACACAGTCAGGGGCATCTCCACACCCGCTCGTCRCCTCTCTCCCTGGGCAACTCCGGATCAGGAGAGAGCCCAGCCCCTTTCCAAGAGTTGGGTTCCAGAGCCCAAGCTGAGAGTAGAGGTGAGCTGCAGGAGCCAAGGCTCGACATTTAAACAAGACTTCTGGATCACTCTCAGTCTGATCATGTTTCAAACTCTTTATTGAACAAAAACAAGACTTTTGACACAAGTGAACTTTGTAGAGAACGTTTAAACAGCTGAGCTGATGTTTCTTTTTTATTTATTTATTTTTTGCCACTTCAGCAGAAAGCAGAACTGAATCTTAGTTTCTTAATTTCTTCATCATCAGTAACTTTTTTTAAAGAAGAAAAAGAAAGAGAAGAAAAAAGTGAAATGTAACGGGAAAGAGTGAACGAGAGATTAGAAGATATGTGGTATCGAGAAGACACAAGACAACACACCCGAGTTAATGTTCCAGATGTGTGTGAGTCCCAGAAACAGTCTGGTCTTCATGAAGTCTTCAAAAGCAGACAGCAGAGGCGTCTTGAAGGTCCGGTCCGGTCCGGTCCGGTCCCCCCGCCCCAGTTTCTCACTGCACGACACATTTGTTTTTCCTGGTGGACTGTCCCGTGACCCTCATCTCGTGCTCCACCTCAGCCTTCAGCGTGTTCCTCCTCTGCTGCTCCACCGCCTTCAGCGCCTTGGAGACTTTTTGTTTCTCCTTCTTCGACAACCTTTTCGCCCTCCCGAACATCTTTTTGGTGTAACACTTCCCCTCATTGTCCAGGATTATTCTCTCGATTTTCTCCAGCAGCTTCACGACCTGCCAGTCGTCCTTCGACTCGTTGTTGAAGACGTGGTATTTGTTGGCGAAGCCTTCGACCAGGCTCATGAGCGCTTCACTCTTGGACAGAAACTGATCGATGGTTTGTTTCTTCAGTTTGTCTCCGTGTGTGAACAGCAGGATCGAGTGTCTGGTGACGGCCTCGCCGAACGTTTCCAGAATAATCTTTAGGGTTTCTTCCTCCTCTCTGGTGAACCTGCCCAGCCTCACCACCACCAGGAAGACATGAGGACCAGGAGCAGCCAGAGAGAGGCACGTTTCGATCTTCTTCAGCACTTCCTCTCCGGTGAAGTTGGTGTCAAAGAGCCCCGGCGTGTCCACGACAGCCACCTGTGTGCCTCGGACCTCCCCGTCAACCCGCTTACAATCGAGAGTCCAGGACGTTGGACACGCCTCCGACTGGAAGGCTTCTCGTCCCAGGATGGTGTTTCCTGTGGCGCTTTTCCCACATCCGGTCTTTCCCAACAGAACGATCCGGTAAGTGCTGCTGTTCTTCTTACTCTTCTTAGATTCTGCTGAAAACAAACACAACAGCTTTGGTGTCAGGTTCTTTTTTTTTTTTTYTTTTTTTTGGGGGTTTTTGGTGTCAGCTGCAGCTGATGTTGAATATAAGAATCAACTCTAGTTAGAGGAATCCTATCTTTTTTCAATATTTTCCTGAAATCAAATCCTCACAGAACAAGCTCCCGAAGCATGGGCGTAATTTGCAGGGGGGTTAGGGGAGTTATGACCCCCCACAATATTTTAATTCAGTCAATATAAGTTTATAATATAACATGGAATCATGTGTTGTAATTTCTCCATATCGTACCAGGTGAATATATGCTTTTGGGAAATTGAGAAATTTAGGTATGCCGTATCCTAAAAATGTGATCCTGATTTAGTTAATAAGACATTTTGACCTGAGAGAACAGAACTGGAACAGGTGTGCTGACAGGTTTCTGCAACCTGTTTGTGTAAAAGTGAAAAAATCTTTAAAGCATCTGGTCTGTAGTTCATCTGAGTCTGTCCACAATCCACCGCAATTTACATACTTTTACAMTGAGACCATCTAAACTGAAATAAAAATAAATAAATAAAAGCACAACTCAAAAATCAATGTTTTGGACTTTTTATTTCAACTTTGTAAAACGTGGCAAGAAATGAAGGTTTACAGAAGCACGATAAAACAACAGTACAATCTGTTTACATTAATCTGAAAAAGTGCCAAAATTAGATAAACTGATTTTCTTCATCATCTTCTTCTTTTCCACCAGTTTAAAAAGCTATTTGAAAGTGGAAATATTTAAACTTTTAAAACACGATTATAAAGTTCAGAAGCCATTCTTGTTTGCAGATGAGTCATACGAAGTCATTCAAGGCTTTTTTTAAAGGTTTAGAGATAAAACAATCAGAGCGTCTTTTCTGCTTTTCTATCATACGTATGAATTTGAATGCACAGAAACATAAAACTCAAGATTTCTTTTTGATGGGGTTGTATTTTACACCAACAGCCAAAATCCAGTTCAATTTTTTCATTTATGTACAAGGAAACTGTTCAGTAAAAAAGCTGTTGAAGATTTACCATCATCACTGTCCCTAAACGGGAACAGACTGAGCAAGAAAAAGAATTGTTGGTTTTGTTTCCTGTCCGTCCTGTTTTACTGCACGTGGCAGCCGTCGTTGACTTTTATTGCTATAACTCCAATAGCGGCTCCGATAGCGGCCCCGGCGGCGACTCCCACCGCCGCTCCGATCGGACCCCCCGCCAGCCCCAACAAGCCCCCCACCACTGCGCCGCAGGACACGGCCACGGCGATGGTGGGTGCGGCGAGGAAGGCGTTGGACCTCTCCGCTCGCCTCCGAGCTTCGCAGTCGTACCTAATGGTCAGGTTGCGCTCCTCTCTGTAGAAAGCGTTTCCCGAGTATTTGGCTCGGAGCATCTCCAGCTCCCTCAGCCGGTCCTTCTCCATCTCCTTCAGGAGTCTCTCCTTCTCCTGCTGGATGGCGGCTTCCGCTTTATCGAACATCTCGTTCGAGTAGTAGCCTCCACCGTTGTCTGCGATCATCTGGTCGATCTTGTCCAGCAGCTGCCAGGTTTGCTTGGGATCTTTGATCTCGTTGTTGAAGACGTGGTATCTGTTGTTGCACTTGTGGATGAAGGCTTTCAGGTCTGCGCTTTCTGAAATGAAGCTCTCGATGGACTGGTGCTTCAGGTGGTCTCCATGTGTAAACAGAACCATGGTGTGTCGGTCCGCGGCCTCGCCAAACGTGGTCTGAATCATCTTGATGGTGTCCTTCTCCTCCTTGGTGAACCTGCCCATCTGGAGGACCACCAAGAAGGCGTGAGGACCCGGAGCGGCCAGAGAGATGCACATCTTGATCTTGTTCAGCACTTCATCTTGAGTGAAATTGGTGTCAAAGAGCCCCGGCGTGTCGATGACCGACACCGACCGGCCGTCAATCACTCCCTTGGCTTTCTGGCAATCGGCCGTGAGCGAAGCTGGAGACATGTCGGACTCGAAGGCCTCCCTCCCCAGGATGGTGTTTCCTGTCGCGCTCTTCCCCACTCCGGTCTTCCCGACCAGAACAATCCTCTTCTCTTCACGCATGCCGTTCATGAACCCTGTCGGACAGAAATATACTGTTCATCATCCAATGCTGCGCTGTCGGGAGGAATGTGTGAACACTCCAGACCGAAACTAATCTCTGCTGAGAAACAGTGAGAAGAAGACAGATTACTAATCCTGACTGGTCAAGCTGTAGGAAGAAACACAAACACAAGAAAAACAAAAGAAAAGCAACATTTTTTTTTAGTTTATGATGCAATGCTTTAGTGCCGTCCAACAAATCCAACATCATTTTCATCTGACAGTCAGGTGGAAAGAGTAATGGTTTTACTGTCGTTTACTAAACTTTCCTGTTTTCTTTATTTACTCTGCAACTTTTCTGTAAAAAAAGATTGCTTCTTTTACCAACAAACCAAACATTTAACATTTTTAGGATGTATTATACACTGTACCTAAATTTCTTAGTTTTCCAGGAATATGTATTTTTCTAGTGCACTACAGTTTGGTTAGGAAAAATGACAACACATGATTTAAAAATGCAGCCATAATGTGACAAGAGCAGATTAGAACTCTGCATTTTTCAGCCATTATGCTTAAACGTAAAAATATGACGTCATACATTGAAATCAGGTCAATGTTACCTRAAGACAATAAGAGAGTTGCAGCTGTGTAACCAGTTCATTTCTATTGCGTTAGAGCAAATTGCATTGTTTTATTTTGTTGGAGGGGCTACAGTGATTGGATCAAATTATTGTGGGGGGTAATAACCTCCCCTAAACCCCCTCGCAATTTACGCCCCTGGATAAGTCACATTTCACATGTTGCAAAAATACGGCTCTGATCAACCTTTTAGTTTTTTTTAAACTTTCAAGCAGTTAAATCAGATAAAAAAAACAAGATTTTTAAAAAACCTGAGAGGAGTTTTAGCCTAATGTTTTTTTTTTAATTACTGAAAACCGTTCTAACAACCATTTTTCTTAGCTAATTTCTAATCACAAGTCTCAAAAGCAGAATTGAATTACAAAATAAAGCTGTAGGATTTAAAAGATTTAATTGACTGTTTTAACAAAGCCATTGGGAAAGTCTTTAGTATAATAGCATGTAACGTTTATTGGAAATATGATAAAATGTTGATGTTTGTTTTAATTTGGAGATTGGTCAAGGTTAAGTTTTTTGTAAGTTTAAAGTTATTCTTTTTTAAATAAGGGTAAGATATAAGTTTTTTCACCCTTTTCATTCAGAACTTTTCTTTTTCTTCTGTTCTTGTGTATATATGTTGTTTTTTGAGTGTATAAAAATAAATAAAATAAAAAACAGATTGTAAATATAAAAATGACAGATATGTTCATTGTGATCTTTCTTCCATCAGAACTAATGACGTCACTTCATTCGTAAAAATCTACAACTTTACTTTTCTTTCATTGTAGGAGAAACTTCACAGTCTGGCAAACATTGGGATACCTAAAATAAAAGCAAACTGCTGGTGGGATTATAGATATTTAAAGATACGAGTTGTTTCTCATGCTGCTCTTCATCACCTCTGCTCCTGTTTTTTGTTTGTTTTAGACGCACGACAATCTGAGTCTTATCAGGCCATTCTTTTGACAGCTTTGTTACAACACCCGAGTTCTTCTCATTTTTCCTGAATGAGTCAGAAGTTTCTAATCTGAGGTGAAACACATGACTTCTGCAAAGCAGTGATTTATACAGGTCAAATTACTCAGTTTAATTCAGAGGAATTCACAGAAATCATTCACATMGAACCAGATTACAACAAAACACAAAGCCAACAATTAATGATAAGAGGGTTATTTACACAGAAAACAAAAAAAATCTGCTCTTTCTTGGAGGCTTTTTGCTGAAAAATGTGAGTTTCTGGTTCTGATGTTGTAAAATGAAATAAAAGAAAACTGCTGGATCTTTGCTGTGGCTTTGAAACATTTCACTTTGGTTGTTGTCTGCTGGAACTCCRGTCATTTTTTCTTCCCTCTGATTTGTGCTGAATTTAAAGTATCTTCTTCTAAAAATGATGTGTCACGCTTTACATAAGCTGTTTATTCACTCCTGACATACTTTTAAAAAAAGAACAAAAATAAAAATGCAGCTTGGTTGAACCGGTTTGAACAACTGGAAATCACAACAAGAAAATCTAAATTCCTCCCTGTCAGGGTGTGTGTGTGACATGACACCAACCAACATTTGTGTTCTCATAGTGATTGAGTGAAATGATTTAACACTGATGGGTGTTTTTGCACAATCACTGTGACAACACACAAACACTTATCTGTTTCGGTTTTATTTACCTGAAGAGACTGGAATTTAATAAAGGAACATTTAGTTTATGTTTAAAAAATGGGATTTTAGCTTWTTTTTTAACACAAATTTGCTTTATTCAAACAAACAAACAAAATATTATCCAGTAAAATCACATAATTTGAGTCTGAATCTTCTTTAAATGAAGTGAAATAATCTGTTAATGTAATAAGACAATTACATTTGGTAAGACTTCTTAAAATAAGGAGAATTCCCAGCTTAACAAGATCAATAATCCAACAGTCTGCTCTTTTTAGTTTCAAAAATTAATTTTTACTAGATATAAGAGTGCAACACTTGGTTAGATGGACAGTTTTTGCAGTGCAAGTTGAATTAAAAATATGAAAGTAAAATGTGGTTTGGTTTTTAGCTGAGAGTCATTCTCAGGTTATAATCTGAGCATCAGTTGAAATTCCTGCATGTCTCTTCCAGCAGTTCTCGCTCACTATTTTCTGTGTCATGGTGCTTTACCTGTTATTAATGTGCAGAATCTTGTCACTTATAGAAAAAAATGTGCTAATTTTAGCCACAAAATTTTAAATTTTTTTTTACTACAATTTATGTTAAACAAACAAATATGTGGGATTTACTTAAACAGATTATGTCAACAGGTTTAACTCAACCGAATTTAGTAAAAATAAAACAATTTTTACATTTACTTTATAAGTGAATATGAAGTAAATGTGTTATATTTACTCAATTGCGTTGAGTGGAACCTGTTAATTTGCTTAGGTAAATCTGACACATCTGTTTTTTTGAGGATACCCAGTGGGAGATTCAGGGAAACTTGAAATGTGATGATGGATTCTGGAAAAGTGGGACTTTTGTCCAGGTAAAGCAGCTGTTTCTTACCTGAAGAATATGCCGCGTACATGCTGGATGTTTAAAGGTTGGATTCCTCCTGCTCCCTGAGCCTCGTCTTCAATGAAACTGTCTTTCTGTCACCTGTGTCGTCCCTTCTCACCTGGGCGTTCCCAGATTCCTCTCTCGCTGCAGAACCAGTATGCAAAACAAAACAGAACAACCCRGGTCTTTTTAAAAATCTAATATTTAAACTAATAAAAAAGAAAGAAGCTTTTGGTTGTTTCTTTGCTTCAGCTTGAAACACCGACCGCCCTGAAACTGGTCTTGTCTGCAAAACGCCTTCAAACTATTCCTGTCATCTTTTTAATAACGTGAAATTCAGGTTGTAACAGGTGAGTGAGGCACAGGTCAGGTTTACAGAAATCCAAAGGTTCATTCCCATAAAAACCTGACACTTCTTCTCAGTGACCTCAGGTTTACAAATCAAGAATCATCAGGTGAGACACCTGAGCTGGAACAAGTTTTACAGCTGGTAGAATAAGTATTGAATACGTCACCATTTTTCTCAGTAAATATATTACTAGAGGTGCTAATGACATGAAATTTTCACCAGATGTTGGTAACAACCCAA